CGCATCCCTCGCGTAGTGTATACAAGACACAAGGTATTGTTATATAACCATTCATTACCAGGCAACGTGGGTCAGTATTTAGTTCAAGTGCAGTCTCGTCCACTGTATAACCTGACCTACAACACCCAATCCAACTCACACACACACACACACACACACACACACATCTCGACTCATATCCCTCTCCTCCTACACACACACATACACATCTCGACTCATATCCCTCTCCTCCTACACACACACACATACATCTCGACTCATATCCCTCTCCTCCTACACACACACACACACACACACATCTCGACTCATATCCCTCTCCTCCTACACACACATCCACCAGCGAGTCATCTATTCGTTTCATCCATTAAGCTTACCATCGACAACATGCAGCAATATAACACTGAATTGCTTCATATCTCATTGAAGCACCTGACCACGCACGATGGCTTCACCAAAACATATATATATATATATTCTCGCCATAATCATAACTAAATCACCCAGTATTAATTCTCGTTTTCTGTAATCTCAAACTATACTGAACTTTTCCCAATACCACACACACACACACACACATAATCTTTACAGTATCCTCTACAGTCATGTTAGCTGAGTACTGATGGTTTTGTAAGTCACGACTCTCATCACTATATGTAAATTTATTCAGGCAATCATTCGTCATAAATCCTGGAGAATTGGTACAGCAGCCTTTAGAGATGACAGTCTTACTCACTCCACATATTGTTGTCATTTTACTTGTGGACGAGTTTGTTTGTGTTATTTTGACTAAGTTACACACCGGAGCAGAGTCTGTATGTGTGTCACTGGAAAAATATTTATATACTTTGCTGTCGGCCAAACATTATTTAAATATGTTACGATCAGTTTTTAAATCGGTCTAATTTTAAAGCTTGAGTTACAGATGTTTTCTTGATTTATTGTTATTTTTGCTCTGTTTTTGTTTTAATATTACAAAAAAATGATTGGTATAAAATTAACTATTTTATCCTGAGCCAAACAAACCGCAAATATCGCCCAACGGAGCTAACAGCCAACACTTGTTAACCTGTACGCATTTCTTCGACTTCATGTTTTATTTTGTATTCCTTTTTTGCTCTTTCCTAACCTGTATAAAATATCATAAAATTTCAGTTTGGGGAGGACGGCCACAAGCGCGTAATAAATGTTGCTTCTCCAGAAAACTTTTGTAAGAATAAGATTTTAGATTTGTTTTGCGTGTTTACCAGAATTTTGAAATTTTGTAACATATTTGCCTCTTTTTTTTGCATCAATTTAGCAATGGTACGAATTTATATTTTTGGCATCCTGTAAAAGTGGGTACGCGCAGGTATGAGTGTGTATACCTATTATTATTATTATTATTATTATTATTATTATTATTATTATCATTATTATTATTATCATCAAATTCGAACAAAATCAGAGCTATATATTAACTATCAACTGAACAGATTAGTTAGAAGAGAAAAATCCACGTTCCTAGAGACCATTACTAATGTAGCTGCTTGTTGTTGTGGAGTGAGTGAGTGACGGCCGGCACAGAGTGGTGTAGGCGGGGCAGGTGAGGTACTGTACTACGGTGTGTTTGCCTTAGTTGTTGCCTCTCTCTCTCTCACTCACTCTCTCTCTCTACTACCCTGTCCCCCCCCACCCGACAAACACCACCCTTCCAGTCACCCATGCAAAATACCTTCTCCACACGATCGTTTTACGACGTAGGACTATGCGTGCTATAGTGACCCCTTGACACACACATACACACACACACATATACACATACACACACACACACACACACACACACACAGCTATACAAATGCAATACACACTCATACGCACATATGTAATGATTATGTATCAGACCACAGCCCAGAGTAAAACAGCACATATAGCAGTGACTGGAAGCGCAGTGTGTACACCCTGGTAAGTTGACTCACCCTTCGTAATTAAAGTGAGATTAAGACCTGACCCAAGAGGGGTCACGGTCAGAATGACCCAGAGTTCTCACCGTCACGTCATTTGCTTAACCCGGCGACATGACCATGTTACTTAAGAAGCTACCCTCCAGCCAGTACACCTGTCACCTGGCCAGACACACACTGAGTAATCCAGGTGTGGTCTCACAAGCCCAAGATACAGTTTTAGGATGACCTCGCTCGTCTTGTAACTAACACTCCTTTGTATGAACCCAAGTACTTTATTAGCCTTGTTACGAGCAAAAACACATTGTTTACTTGGCTTA